GCCCTGAGCTTGGTAAATACTCTGATGTGGTCTCAGAGTTTTTATGAGGACATATGTCAGTTGTAGGTAGTAAAACACAAACACACGTCTCCCTCACTGGTAGATGACCCATGAATCTTCAGATCTACTATCTGTCCTTCATGAGTTTATGAATGATCTCTGTCTGTATTGGCCGTTGTGGTGAAACATAATACATTCAAGGACATTTCTAACCACAGACTCACCTCCTTTCACTTTCTTCTTCTTTTGTTTCCTTTAAGCTTTTAATACTCTCCACCCTCTCCTCTGCCACCCCACACTTCTCCTCCTACCCACAAGTTTTTGGTGTCACATGATGTCAGAGACTGGGACACAGACTTGGGGGTTTAGGGAGGTGAAGCTGCAGCCTGAACGACAGGCCTTTGTTCATATGAGAGATAGACTAATCTGTGTAATACTCCAACAGCAGAATTAGATGCCAAGGAGAGTGATTTCTTCTTTTTGTCTGCTCCTCTGAATCACTGCTGTTAGAGGGAGTTGGAGAATGAGTGTGTGAGTGTGTTTTAGTGACTGTGTGTTTAAACTCAGCTAAGAAATATGGTGTTTGCATGTCCTTGGACACTTAAGAAGTAAAATCTTTAGACCACTTTTATTTGTTGATGGACGATTTGGTGTATTTTCTCATTTAATTTTGTTTGTTTCTTTGTGTTTCCCGTGAACAAGAGTTGTGTCAAATCCCAAATGTATACAGTATATTTGGGGGTTTACACAAAATAACAGCTGCAAAATCCCTGAGTATCAAGGAAAGCTTTTCTTACCAGTTGATGAAGAAGTGTGAAAAACTTCAGTTCTCCAAGTGTCAGCTTGAAGCTGGCTGCAAAAGCACCAGAAACCATGTCAACACTAATTCGAAAACAGTTTGATCTGAATGGAGTGAATTTCTTTCTAAATGCATTTGTTTCAAAGATACTAAGGTTGCAAGTCTGGCAAATCAGAAGCATGGCTAGTGAAACTGTTTATGAGAGGGCTAACAGTCTCAGCAAGTCAACCCAGACCTCCCACTTACCAACATCGCTATCCAGGTCCTCATGTGGGATCACAATGCACTCCAAGGCCAGGTGTAACATGTAATCCTTCTAGTGAGCTTTAGGCCTACCTCAAGGTCTCCTACCCACCGGCTGCACAAGGATCACCTGCATGGCCCGACATGACCCCAGATTTGGAGGTGTTGTTTTGTCCAAGGTACCTGCTGGAAGTCTCAACCAGAAAAAGCCAACAGAACCACATTATCTGCAAAGCAACAAGACGACTCAGTGAAGGCCAACATGTACAGAGAATGTGACTGACTTTGTGTGACGGTCTATCTGACATCTAACTATCTAACAGAAACGAACTCCTAAAATCTCACACAAGAAGTGTAAAACCATTGATCTGCCCACTCACAACCTCCCAGCAGTTATTGAAACATCATCTCTCTCACACACACACAAACATAGAGAGAGCGAGAGAGAGAGCTCATGACCCCTGAACCTCCTGAACTCCTGCTTCACCCTGCTGCCGACACTCATCTGTGATCTGTGAAAAAAAGTGCTACAGAAGCTGCTACCCTCTGCCATCACTGCAGCAACACGCTCATCTTCTGCTATTTTACTATTTTATTTTGACCTTGACTGATGCTTTTTCATCGTCCTAACTGAGTTAAAACTGCAGAAACAATCAGCCCCTTCCCCGTCCATTCATGGCTTTTTACATGATCAGTTTAACTTCAGTATAATTATGATTACATAAAGCATGACCAGAGCTAATAAACCACAACTCCCCAACCTAACCTAACCACAGATTAAAATAAGCATGTACTTAGTCTGGATACAGTAAGCTGTTGGTCTCTGAAGGTGTTATGGCACCCAAGTGATGATCGTCATATTGGAAATGCAAAAACCAATTAGCCACACGCCACATCTGCACCCGAACCATAGACTGTATATAGAATAGACCAGGTGAAGCCACTTCAAGAACAGCACCCTCTGGTGATGGGCTGCAGTATAGGTCATAAATCCGGCCTCCTCCAGCAATCCCTATGGAGCTGTGGATAAACTTGAGAAATTTATTACAGAGAGAATAACTGTTTCTCCCCATGCTTGCGATGTTGACATGTAGTTACTGTAAGACTGTTTTGTGCTGAAGTCCTCTTTTTTTCTGTGCAGCTCCATTTTGAAAAGTTATTAGAGGGTTCATGTTTTCTATGATTGACACTTGATACAGCCTATGGGTGTATGAAGATTGTGTAGCTCACCTGGGCTGGTACACTGTTTTAGCGGAACGTCATCACAGCAACTCTCGGTGACTCTCCTGTCGAATGCGTACAACGCTACTGCTACTACGCTAGTGGTGGTTCCAGGAAGTGGAGAAAATCCCGGAAATACAGAGGGCAATTTGGCTTCAGATTTGTATAATGACAGAAGGCGGAGCCAAGTTGTCCATAGTATATAGTATCTATGGTCTGAGCACACCTTGTTTTAAGACAACACACCCAAATTCGCCAAAACGTGAGATACTTTAATTACTGTGGATGGATGTAAAATTGATGTCTATGTTGGACAGATGAGAATGAAATAGGTTTCTATATGAATTACTGGAATTTCCTTCAATAACCTCTATTAAATATGTAGTGAATACATTTTCACTTCTCTATGTAAAGTGTTCACTGTTGTCATACAATAAACCCTAAGATATAATGGAGAAATAAGCATGACTTTAAATAGTTTTTTAGAGCACAGTTAGATTTATTGTACACTGCCATACCTTCCTGTATTTCAAGGACAGAGAGGCCCTGACATTCAGTGACTGCATGTTTTGTAACTTTCAGAGTGAATTCCACAAGCCAGCATGGATGGATACAATTCTTTGAGACGTGTTGTTTTCAGTGAAATGTTCCAGGCCCCAATTTCCCAAGGAAAATGTCATCTTACTTACTGCTACCTTGAGTGTTGTACCACAGAACTGAAACTATCTGTACCAAAATGAAACCCGTACAATAAAAATCTATGGCTGCCAAAAACGCTTAAAAGGAGTAGAGCAAGTCCAAGAAACAAAATGCTCGAGAAAGAAATGAAAAATATTCCAGACTAAGAATCTATGACATGATGTTTCTGTATGTAACTCAATCCAGATCCAGTCCAACAAGTCTGAGATTCTTCTTTTTCACAGATACTGAAAACCCAGCTCTACACCTGCACTGAGACTTTTCCTCGCTTTGCTCCCTCCAGTAGCAGAACACAGAGCGGCAGTGATTGAGGAGGCATTTTTCACTCAAGGTTGTATCCAACAATTTCAGTGTCATGGCTGTGGCACGCAGAGCTGGACCACTTATCACCTCTGCAGTGTGCAGCAACATTTCACATCCCAACATTTCTGCTTTTCAGCAGCTCAAAAGAAGCTCGCAGGTCTGTGGAGGAGCTGCAGAGTTTGAAATATGAAATCTGCAGCAAAACACAGCGACAGCATTTCTGAATGTGTTTCTTTTCTTTTCAGAGGTGGTGAACCAAATATGTATTAAAAAAAATAAAAATACCTGACCTTTTCCTATCACCCCCAGAAATACAAAATCTATAGACAAATTGAATCTCAGGAAACATTCATCTATGATTCATTGATTTAAGATTGCTTTTTTGTCATTGGTATTCTTAATGCAAAAGTTCAACCCATTAATGTCAGATTTATCTAACTGATTTTTCCAGGTCAGTCTGTATTTCCTTGACAGATTTAAAGATTTTTCATGACTTCATATAAACATTCTGTAAAACACGTGTTATACGTATACTGCACACAAAGTGAAATGTGACTGAGCAACATCTTCTCTGATTTTGTAATATGCAGTATATACTAATACAGCACTATGAGGTGTTATGATAAATGGATTAAAATGTTCATATTTTTAATTAGTGTTATGAACTATGACAAAGCATTAGGGCCACATTGAGAAAAGAAAAAAAAAATAGACCTCGGAATTAATTATGAGAATTAAGTCCTATCATTACTGACCAGAATAAAGTCCTAAAGTAAGTCTTAAAGCTGCTTTTGTGGAGGAGGAAATGGCTGGAACTGGTCAGCTGAAGAGTTATCAGTGGGTGCATCAGAGGGTTATTCACAGGGCCTTTGTGGTTTCTCAAGAAACAATCCAACTGATGATCAACATTTGTAATTCAGAGGGAGTCGAGCTCCGACGAGCACTGCGTCTGTCTCTGATGCACAACACCGGCAGCAACCTACACCTGCAGAAGCACCAACAACTTATGGCACATCGATTCATATGATAAACTAAAGCCATACGCTATTGCTAACGGCTGCATTGAGGGATTTAGCCTTCTCAGTTATTATAATTTCAAACAGTAACACTGTTGCCCACAGTAAAGTAGGGATAAACATCACAATTATAATGTGTACATGCAGGATGTGCAATGTTGGTCAAATTTTCTAAAATTTCCACTTAAGTTTCATACTAGTGTAACCGGTAGGCCTTATCTGTTTATGAGCTGATTACTACAATAAAATGCATAGACCCGCCCCCTTTGTTGAAACATTTTCAACCAAGTAGCAAAGCTAGGCAGAACAGGACCACCCCTCCCCGCCCCACCGCTTCAAGCTGGAAATGATCCAGATTTGCAGCTGCCTTCTCACATAAGCTCACCTGGACTTAACTGTGAAAAAGCTGGTCAGTTTCTGGCTTTAGTCTGAGTGAAAACCTTGTCTGTTTCTTTTCATTGGCTACAGCCCACCTGGATGATTTCAGAAAATTTACAGGAACTGAAAAGGGGCAACAATTACACATTAAAGGTCTTTTTGAGCAGGCTCCACCCTGGAAATTTGCAATGGGATCACCCCTCAAATTTGTGCGTGGAGAATAATTCCATGAGAAGTAATGAGGTTGAAGCCTGGACACCAAATAAACAATTTTCTGCTGCAGTAGTAAAGAATACAGCCAAACAACTTGTCTGATTGAAACATATTCATTTTAAATGAGTCTAACAGCCGTCAAACTGAGCAGTCTCCTCAGGCCTGGTTGTGTTTTCAGATTTTCTGGCACATCTCCCCGTGCCGCTGTGTTGCTTCATTGCCGTGTTGCTGCGTTGCTGCTCCTCCGTCAGCCTCTGATGGCTCACACTGCTGCTGCGGAGCTCCATCCAGCCTCTCAGCTCAGAACAGGATGCTCCGCCGCTCTCAGAGGACTCCTCGTGTGCAGGCTGCTCCATCCTGATCCGACAGACTGCTCTTCCATCCCGCTGACCCTGGATCTGCCTGAATAACAGCCGCTACACACACACACACACTCTCTCTCACAGACTGACAACACACAGCTGATTTCTCCAGTGTGGCTTCCACAACCCCCTGGTGGCTGTTTGGCTCACTGCACCCACAAATAAACAGCCATTTGAAATTCATTATCCTCTTTTAATTCAGCCAAGCCTCCGCAGCTTCTAAAGGCCTTTCAGCTGCTGTAATGTTTTCTCTTTCTGCCACTCGTTTGCCCTTTAAGATTGTTGCCATTGGGCTCCATTTGAATTCCTTGCTCGCTGCCAGAGCTGTGCAGTTGTGAGGAGAGAAATGAGGTTATAAGACGGCAGAATGTGCATGTCTGTGTGTGAGCGCACACTCTGTGCTCTGTTGCTCGGCTGTTAACTGTCACAGAGGAAGTTAAGGATTGATAATGTCACGTGGGGGCTCCATCACTGCTAATTGTCCCCTCTGTGATTTAGAAAACGTGTGTTAGATAAATGGAACAAATGCATGCAGAGGGGGAAGAAGGGTGTTATTAAAAACTTGCACGAGACTAAATTAGATTTTTATGTATCCTCTCCATAAGCTACACACTCACACCTACACGCGCACAAGCTGAGCAAATTTGCGCTATGCATATATTCATCGCCGTCAAAACATCAGATCCAGTCAAACATCTCCCTCATGTCCATGAGGATGAGCAAACCACCAACCCTGCAGCCCTGTCAGCATCCAGGAGAAAGAGGGAGAGAGAGTGGACGGATGAATGAGTGAGTGTAAGATGAAAAAAGGAGGGAGGAAGAGAAAGAGAGAGAGAGAGAGAGAGAGAGAGAGAGAGAGAGAGAAGGCCTCCAGGATGATGAGAAAGAAGCAGCAGTGGTGGACACAGAAAAGGGGCAGTGGAAAAAAACACGGCAAGAATGAGCTCTGAATCTCTTTGAAACATCGAATCCTCTCCAGAGTTTGTCATATTTTCTCTGAACCCTCTTCAGGCTGAGAGATTTTCCACCAACATAGCTCAGTAAACAACAGCACAGCTATTTTACAAGGACTGATTGTTTAGTTTTTAATTTCCAGCTCTAAAATCACAAAACTTACATTGACTTCATGTACAAAGAGCAGGGGGGGTTTGCACAATGACAGTATTATTTACGAGTTAGTGTGGGTAAATCAGAACTTCCATAAAAGTGGAGCGGTCTTGTCTCACCCTGACACAGTTCTATTTTTTATCACTACTTGTACATTAGCCTACTTATTCCCAAACAGCTAAAGATGCTCGTAAAGCCTAAAAACACTTGTGTAACCATCATGTAACAAGTGGACTTTTTATAACTGATGTTCATTTGAGTTTATGCTTTGTGTTTTTTATTGTTGCCATGACTACATTTGTTCTGTTTCCCTTTTTGGTCAGCCTGTTTCTTGTGTTGCTACACATGAAAATGGACAGAGCGCTGGCTTGGCTAACCTCAGGGTTCCTCCCAAACATCAGAATACCTAATCCTAACAATTGTGTCTGGTAAAACATATTTCGACGAGACAAGGGGAGGCGCTGAAAATAGGTTTTGAAAATCTTTAAGTGAGTGCCAGGCTCCAGAAAAATAAGCCTTAAAGGGATATTCTGGCGTAAATTTAAGTTACTGTTAAACACACCATAACACAGAGTTAGACACCAAGGACTGCAAGATAACAATACACAGTGGTCTATCAGTCCATGCTCACACCTCAACCAAAAAAACACAAATAATGCTCAGAACAGCACCTAACTTTATCAACAGTACATATAGGGTCCCAGCCATAGTACTAGCCATCAAACATCTTTTTAACTTTGCCTAATTTCTTTAGAAAAGAGACTAAACACAACTCACCCACCTTCCTCCAGCAGCTGCTTGTCTGTGGGGGGAGCCCTGACGAGTCGATCACCAAGTGCAGCGGATCATTTCCATGAAGTAATAACCATCATAATAATCATTTTGCACTGCAGATGGGGTAGCTCTTCTGCCTTAGCGGTTCGGTCTGATTGCGTTCCCATGAAGTAATGATCATAAATTTTCTTCCTTGAGCTTCGAAACTCCATTGCATAATCGACTCGTCAGGGCTCCTCCACAAACAAGTGGCTGCTGGAGGAGACTGGTTGAGTTGTGTTTAGTCTCTTTGCTAAAGAAATCAGGCAAAGCTAAAAAGATGTTTGGTGGCTAGTACTATGGCTGGGACCCTATATGTACTGTTGATGAAGTTAGGTGCTGTTCTGAGCATTATTTGTGACTATAGAGTGGCGTTTTGGTTAAGGTTTGTGCGTGGAGACGTAGACCGCTGTGTATTGCTATCGTGTAGTCACTACTAAAGTTGGTATTACTGGAGAGGCAAGCAGTCGGCAACATTCATCTCTAGAGGGGGTGTCTAACTCGGTGTTACAGTGTGTTTGACCCTAACTTAAATTTACACTGGGATATCTCCTTAACACTCATTACACAGCAGAGAGATATAGATGGATAATCTTGCTGTTTCTTTATGTGGACAGAACAAATATTCAAAAATATGTCCATGATTTTCCTGTCTCTTGTACACATGCCTCACAAGTACAAAAAACAAACATTCAACAAACACATTGCACGTGCATCGGACCTGCAGAAATGTCTGATATTTCTCTTGCTGTATCTCTGGCCCTTCTGAATCTTCTTCTGAAGCTTTTGTTTTTATAGGATCATTCTGTTTCCTGGTTAGCAAAGGGGAAGGTGTTGTGGATGACAGTCCATTGTGTGGTAATAGAGAGGCCATAACAGTCGTATTGTTGGACAGCGTCTCCTGGGAAGCTCCAACTAGGGTCCCCACAGACCTTTCACCTACATGTATGAAATGTGTTGGTTTTTTGTTTGTTTGTTTGTTTTTTAATCTTTTATTTTTATGTCAAGCTTAATAAAACCTCAACATGCCCCCCGACCCAAAAAAATCATAAGACTCATCTGTCTGTATTATTTGCCTGTTTTTCTGGGAATTTTCACAAGGTTCAAGATGAGAAGTCACTGTACTGTGCACTGTTTTTTGACATTTGAGAGTCTCCAATACAATGAATGTCAAAATATACAGTAATTCTACCACTGGTATGCTGGGTGAGCGGGCCGAGACATGAGGTAGAGAGAGAGAGAGAGAGAGAGAGAGAGAGGGGAAGGACAGATGGGAAAGGCTGAGACACCTCGGTTCTGATCTGTGTGATCTTGCTGTTTTACTCGCCTCTTTTTCACCCCTGATCTAAATGCCAGAATACTTCTTGCTGTGCTCTGCAGAGAACAACCTGACCCTGAAAAATAACCAGGATATGAAGAGCTGGATGTATGGAAAGGTGCTGCACCTCCCACTGACAGTGTTTTCTGCCTGTCTGTCATATCAGTGCTCCCAAAGCCCACCTCTGACTGGGTGAATCTTATCTTCTAACAGGCAGGTTGACAGTGCTGCAAACAGGGCGAGGCTGTGAGGGACTAAATGTTAAATTTGGGGCTTTCAGATATGAGAAGTGAAGAAAAAAAACAAGATAGAAAGCCGAGAAACTCTGGAACGACTTACATTTCTGTAAGACCGAAGGTGAAAACCTTCAGGATATTTACACTTTTCAACCATTTTCTCTCCTGGGACATCGAGGGGGGAAGCTTAAACACAGTCATAGTGCTGTGTCCCTTACTGCAAGGCATAAATCACAGCAGTCGAATAAAACATATGGATTTGTCCACTTACAAATTTAACACAAATCCAGCCGAAGAGAAAAAATTAAGATACAACAATATTTCTCATGATAGTATAGTTACCCTTGGTCAACCGACAATGTTTACATTAGGTAAGGTACAACAAGATCAAACTTTTGTCATCCTAAAGAAAATTCTCACCCAGGATTACATTGAGATTATAAAGCAGTTAACATATGCCTATCATACACCAAATTACCTGTTTTTTTCCACATTAAATATCTGCACTAAACGATACAAATGTCAGCAGGATGAGATTTTCTTCAAAAAATCACTACTCAGGCATGCAGAGACTGATTGTAATATAAATTATGTTTTATTGTAAACACTGAGTTCATGCTTGTATGCAGGCACACAAACACAAATACACATACACATACACACATGTCTCTGAAAAAGGCAAAGCTTCAGATGGAGCTCGGTGGACTGATTTCTATGATCTGTGAAAAGAGAGGAGAAACGAGTGGAGGTTTGGATGCCTGTGGATTTGATGCTTCCTCCTGTTTGTACCTCGATAGAGTGGATACATTTCTGTAGTTCACAAATTCTCTGGTGGATACACTACAGCTATTAAGCTAACAGTTAAGTTAATGCCACCATACATTTATTTTTCTCACTGTCATGTCTGTCTGTCCTGATCCCAGCAGAAGGTTTGATGGAGGTTGGACTACCTTAAAATTCACCAACCACAACATTTTTACAGTAATGATGATAACTCAGCTTATTCAGTCTCTAACTTTTGACTAATAAGACTCAGAGTTTTGGATTGAAGATTTCTGTATTTAAAAAAAGTATCCCCAGACGAATCAAAGAGGAACAGAACCTACAACTATAGACAAAAAAAAGAGTGTGACAGGTAAAAGTTTATAAAAGAAAGAAAACTGAACAGACAGGTTTGAATGGAGATTTATGAGGTTTTTATTGTAAGTGGGACAGAGAGGATGGGACGCTGATGTAACGTGGCGTATGACAGTCTGAAACCCGTCCACAGAGAGACAATAAGACGACTTCCTGTCAGGTTTTCTCGCTGTGTTGCACGCTCAGGTGAAGGAGGACCTGTCAGTGTCTCATACATACTGCATGTCAACATGGCTGTGTCTGATGTGATCATGCTGCCAAAATCCAGATATTATGTCCCACTTATAGTGAGTCCATGTAACAGTGTGTGCCAGAGATGGTTGTTTAATAATCATATTAATGTCTCACAGCTGATACCTGGTAAACAAATCAGTCTGTCTGCA